CACCAAAATAAAGATCAGAGCCTCTACTTTTAAACAAAAATTGTTCCATTTTATTCTAGCTTAAAGCATTCTTTTTTTATCAACACTTGAACGTATGTAGGTTTCATAAAAATGCATAATTTTGAACAAAAAGGCGAGAAAATCAAATTTTTATCAAAAACTACATCTGGATAATATTCAGTATGATTATCAAAGCATAAATGCAGTAAATCGCTTCCATCAACACCTGCAAAGCACAGACATCACTTCCTGGATCAACATTGTACTCCGTAACATTATGCAGTTTTCATTTATATGCTGTCTATTGCTGATGATCGCATTATTTTTCATATGCATCTGTTTACATAAGAGATCGCTAGTTTCTCCATCCTGTTCATGTGTGTTTTTGTTCGGGAGGTTTTGTACTCGTTCAGAAGACGTGTAATAGCGCCCTCGAGTCTATAACAGTGAAGCGTTTTCTTCTAAAAGACGAGATATCTCGTTAATGGCGGGGAAAGAGTTAAGCTCCAAAACGAGCTTGTGTGACCAGATGCACTGCTCGGGGATGTTGTGGCATCCAGATGTGGCCACTCAGCTGCTTCTGGCATCAGAGGACGACAGACTTCCGGTCATGCAGATGTGGGACCTTCGGTTTGCCACCTCGCCGCTCAAAGTCCTGGAGAGCCACACCAGGTAGAGATTCACACGAACACTGTGTGGTCCAGCTCATGCCGTTCAGTTCACGAGCGCACTCTTTTCAATCTTCCAGAGGAATTCTGTCCATCTCGTGGAGTCAAGCCGATCCGGAGCTTCTGCTGAGCAGCGGCAAAGACAACCGGATCCTGTGCTGGAACCCAAACACCGGAGAGGTGCGTCAGTCACACCTGCTGCTTTTCTACATTAGATACTTCTATCCTAAGTGACTTGAACTGCATTTAAAGTATACATGTGATCAGTTCGTGCACTGCATAAGAATCAAGCCCCTGGCTTTGATATTGCTAGCATCGTGCTGTACTGTTACGGGTCTCTACTGTGTCATTTTATATGATTAATGTATATATAGATTAATATACAGTATAATATATATATATCTATTTTCAAAGATTAAAATTTTCAAACACGGTATGAACAGCGTCTGTTAAATGACTAAATGTAAATGAAAACGGTACTAAAATAAACATTATTTATTTATTTACTTATTTATTCATTAATTTGTTAAAAAAATTAGACCTGTTAAATTCTACAAAAAATTATTATAAATTTTTTTTATTGTTCAATTATAGAATAAATAATAATATAATGCATAATAAAATGTAATATTTTTAGTATAAGTTAGCGGATCTATTTATTTTGAACTGCATTTAAAGTATACATGTGATCAGTTCGTGCACTGCAATATAATGAAATATAAATTTTTTATTTTATTTTTATTATGATGATGATGATTGTTGTGGTTGTTATTATTAGGAATAGTTGTATTATAAAATTATATAATAAATAATAACATTAATTATTTTAGTATAATTGAACAGATAACATTTTTATTGTTTTATATATATATAATGTGTAATAAAATATACATGATGATGACTATGATTATTATTATTAAATAGAATAAATAATAATAGAAAAATAGAATACAAATAAAATTTATAATTATTTTTAGTATATATAATGTATAATAAAATATATGTATATTATTAAACTGTAGTAATAAAATATAATAAATAAAATGTATTATTTTTTTATTTAATAGATCTATATTATATAATTTATAATAAAATATACATTGTTGTTATTATTAAATTATAGAATAAATAATAATATTATACAATATAAGAATGTATTAAATTTATTATTTTTAGTATACTTTAACAGACCTATTTATGATGATAACACTATAAAATATTAACAATAAAAATAATATAAATTATAAAATAATATTCTAAAAATATAGTATAATTTAACAGACCTATTTATGATGATAATACAATCAAATATAATTAAACAAATAACTTATAAAATAATATTCTAAAAATATATAATAAATCTGTAGTTTGTCAAACAGCTGATTGCCAAGTTTAGTAATGAATAAACCCATAGAGATCCATTAGTGTGGGATCTTTGGATCGCATTGCACGTGTGTAGAGCATCATGCCTCGTCTCTGGTGTTTCAGGTGATTTACGAGCTGCCGACAGGCAATCAGTGGTGTTGAAATCCATCAGTGTGGGATCTTCGGATCGCATTGCACATGCACTGAGCATCATGCCTCGTCTCTGGTGTTTCAGGTGATTTACGAGCTGCCGACAGCCAATCAGTGGTGTTTCGATGTGCAGTGGTGTCCTCGTAACCCCGCCCTCCTGTCAGCCGCATCGTTTGACGGACGGATCAGTGTGTACTCTGTGATGGGAGGACGTCTTCAGCAGCAGCAGCACAGCACGGTGGACCAGGTGAGATTATGGGAACATTTAACCTGCTTTTCTTTGAGGAATGATGATCACATGATCTCTCTCTCTGTTCTTAGATCTCGGCTTCGTTTGACACCAGCGACCCGTTTGGAAGCGGTCAAGCTCTTCCTCCTCTGCAGGCTCCTCAGCCCTCAGTCGAAATCACCATCATCCCTCCGCTAAAAAAGCCACCCAAGTGGGAACGGAGGCCTGTCGGCGCGTCCTTCGCTGTGAGTATTTTAGGGATGTCGAGACGTCTGTTATTTTAAAGGTGACATATCATGAAATCTGACTTTTCCAGGTTGTAAGTGCTATAATCAGGTGCATCTACCAACCAAGGAAACGTGAAAAAGATTAACCCAGTAACTTTGTTTTGGGAAGTCTTTTTCTGCAAGCGTCTGAGAAAACCAGCGCGTCTGATTTCGCTCCCTTGGTGACGTGGCAAAGGGATCTCATTATAATATTACCGCCCCTTAATCTGTAAGTTTACACCCACGGCACAGTTATCCTGTTTTCACAAGCGACAACGGTGTACTAGTCCTAAAGCCATGGTGAAAGTTTGAGCGAAGCATGCTAGCTGTTTTGTGTTTGGCTGCACAGACGAGCACTGAACACTGTTTAGATTCCCAGCCTCAGACTTATTAAAATATAGAATAAATAACTAAATCATATGTAATATATAATACATTTAGTAATTGTATTATAAAATCAACATTTATTATTATTATTATTATTATTAAAATATAGAATAAATAACTAAATAATAATAAATAAATATTATAATAATAATAATAATAAAAAAAATTTTTTTACTAACTTTAATAATTGCAATAATTTTCTCAAACAACTTTTTACCAGGATTAATGAAATCATAGAAATCCATCAGTGTGGGATCTTCGGATCGCATTGCACATGCACTGAGCATCATGCCTCGTCTCTGGTGTTTCAGGTGATTTACGAGCTGCCGACAGCCAATCAGTGGTGTTTCGATGTGCAGTGGTGTCCTCGTAACCCCGCCCTCCTGTCAGCCGCATCGTTTGACGGACGGATCAGTGTGTACTCTGTGATGGGAGGACGTCTTCAGCAGCAGCAGCACAGCACGGTGGACCAGGTGAGATTATGGGAACATTTAACCTGCTTTTCTTTGAGGAATGATGATCACATGATCTCTCTCTCTGTTCTTAGATCTCGGCTTCGTTTGACACCAGCGACCCGTTTGGAAGCGGTCAAGCTCTTCCTCCTCTGCAGGCTCCTCAGCCCTCAGTCGAAATCACCATCATCCCTCCGCTAAAAAAGCCACCCAAGTGGGAACGGAGGCCTGTCGGCGCGTCCTTCGCTGTGAGTATTTTAGGGATGTCGAGACGTCTGTTATTTTAAAGGTGACATATCATGAAATCTGACTTTTCCAGGTTGTAAGTGCTATAATCAGGTGCATCTACCAACCAAGGAAACGTGAAAAAGATTAACCCAGTAACTTTGTTTTGGGAAGTCTTTTTCTGCAAGCATCTGAGAAAACGAGCGCGTCTGATTTCGCTCGCTTGGTGCCGTGGCAAAGGGATCTCATTATAATATCACCGCCCCTTAATCTGTAAGTTTACACCCACGGCGCAGTTATCGTGTTTTCACAAGCGACAACGGTGTACTAGTCCTAAAGCCATGGTGAAAGTTTGAGCGAAGCATGCTAGCTGTTTTGTGTTTGGCTGCACAGACGAGCACTGAACACTGTTTAGATTCCCAGCCTCAGACGAGACGACAGAGCAGTGATTTATTGATTTATTTACTGTATATTGCTGCTGCCACACAGATCTAAAATACACATGTGATTTATTTCCCAGCTGTTTACCTTCACAGACACCTTCACAGACATAACTGGTGTGTGTTTGTAACGTAAACTTGTGTGTGAATGAGAGCTTAGTTTAGTACTCACATGCTGTGACAGCCGCTTTCTGTGCGTGTGCACTCAGAAAACTGTATATCAGAAGTTTAAACTAATATGGTTTAAAACGCATGATTTCAGTGCGATAAACATGATAATCAGAACAAAAACAGATGTGTTTAGCAGGTACGAGCTGTAATGGCGCAGCTCTATTCAGGAAAAGGGGGCGGGGAGCAGCAGCTCATTTAAAGAGACAGGCACGAAAAACAGCGTGTTTCTGCTTCCACTCAAAATAGACATTTTCAGAATGCTATAATAAATGATCTGTGGGGTATTTTGAGCTGAAACTGCACAGACACATTCTGGGGACACCTGAGACTTATATTACATATTGTAAAAAGGG